TTGCTGTCTATATAAGGTATATCGAGATAGCAGAAATAACTGAGCTAACCAAAGTATGTCTACCTGCAAGGAAAATATTGATGGCTTTCCTGTTAGATAATCGACCTTTAACCTTATCTACAACATAACTATATGTCTCCTTCTTCACTTGATCATGATGCATGGGTATACCAAGATATTTACTAAGGTTCGATGTAGTAGAAACACCCAGGAGAGTATTAAGCTGGTCTCTTCTCATATGAGCCATAATATTTAAGGAAAAAAATCTATGTTTTCTCTTCACTCATCTTTTGCCCTGAAGCCAAGAAGAATTTCTCTATATGATTATTGTTAACATCAACCTGGTGAATAGCTACTTCTACAAAGATAATGAGGTCATCAATTAAAAAACAAGTAAGAAAGTGGGGGGCTTATCTTGTTCAACCTAATAAGACACCAGTTGCACTGCTTAATCTCATCCTGAATTAAGTGTGTTAAGTTCTCGATGTAAATCACGAATAAATAAAGAGAGATCGAGTATCCTTGACGGAGGCCACGAGAAGGAGAGAACTCTTTAGTTTTGCTATCTTCTTAAAGAATTTACATGCTAGAAGTACTCAAGCAAAATTTAAGAATATCAATAATGGTACCTAGGAAACTAATCTCCATAAGAGGGAGAGGATAAGCTCACATCACAGATGATCATAAGCTTTTTTCATATCAATCTTGATAGTTATGAAGCCTTTCTTCCCTTTCATATTTCTCATAGAATGAATCACTTCCCTAACCACAATAATATTGTGAGAATTGAATCGCCCTAAGATGAAACTGCTTTAATTTGGGGAAATAATATTCAGGAGAAAATACTTAATTTAATTTGCAACAATCTAGTAATGATTTTATAAATTACATTACAGAGACCAATAGGTCAGAAGTCCCGAATAGTCTCTGTTGAACCTTCTTCAGGATAAGAATAATCAATGTACCATTAATATCCTTGATGCTATCAAGGGAGGAGAATGTCTTCTTAACCATCTTACAAATAGAAACACTAACATGTTCCCACTAGCTTTGAAAGAAAAGGACATTAAAGCCATCCAGGCTAAGGGATTTAAGGGCACGTATGTTGAAAATAGCTAAATGAATCTCCTCCTCCTTGAAGCAATCTGACAGGGCACTCTAAGTTGATTGCTAATATCTGGATAATTACTTTAAGTAGTGAAACAAAAATTGTTCCCACTACCCTTACTAATATAAGAGCAATGTTCTTGATATCTTCCACTTCATAAGCCCATTCACCATTATCATTCTTGATAAAAGAAATTTTATTATGCTTCCTTCTAGAGTTAGCTCGAGTATGAAAATACTTAGAGTTTCTATCTCCTGATTAAAACCATTCATACTTAACTTTCTGAGCCCTAAAAGAGATTTTCTTGAATTAGAAGCTCTTTTAGATCTAAATAAAGCTTCTTTTAAAGGTCCTCGATTGCATGCTTTTAATTCCTAGAGAGAGGCATATCATTAAGTCCCTCAATTTCATTCAAAAGGTGATTTTTTTTCCATCTAATATAGCCAAAAACCTCCACCTTCCATTTGTTAATATCTTCCATAAACTAAACTATGTTTTCATACCAATCATTAGAATTACTCCACTTCTCTCAAACAAATAGGTTACAATCTGTGTGTAAGATCTAAGAGGCAACAAATTTGAAAGGATGCTCTTAAAACCTATAAGTTGCATGGTTGATTAGATTTTATCGCTTAACCCTTAAAATAAAACTAAATTAACCCTAATGTAATATAGAGCCAACTTAGATCATCACCTAATGAATGGTTTGAGTTCAGCTAAAAAGCTATCTAATGGAATAAGTCATTCAATGTTGTGAAAGGTTGATTACCTAATTACCTAATTGACCAGTGATTAAAAATGCTGATTAAATTTGATGGTGTGGGCGTTCATTTTTCAAGAATGTGAAACCCTGAAGATTAGTTGATTTTAAAATCATTAGTCTAAACTTAGCTTCCCTTTTCTCTTGATTGAAACTATCTTAACTTGAGAAGACTATCATAAGCCAATTAACCTAATTAGCTAATTTTTTAAGTTTTAGATTAAAGTTCTTTGTTCATTTAACCAATTAATGCAAAGATTAGCTAAGTGAATCACTCAAACTCTCCCCTCGAATGCGATGGCCAAACAAGAAGTGAGCAACCACGGGATTATGTCAAGTCAACAACACAAGCATTAACATTATACGATTATGCAACATTAACACATGTATTTCATTAAATGAAAAACACAAGATTATATGCTAATCACTAAATGGCCGAATTAGTCATGGTAGCCCAAGGAAGAATTAAACAATACAATCCTCTTCTCCTTACATCAAGATCAAAATTTACAAGTCAAGATGATCAAACTCTAGATTAAGACATCCAATTATCAAGTAAAAAGAGAAGAGAATAGGAAACAAAAGAAACTTAGCCAAATGAAGCTCTATGTTCATCCTTCATCTTCATTGTGAATAATATATTTTGTCCGAATATTTTTAATAATAATAATAAATTTAACCAAAAATGAAATTTTCAATCTAATATAAAAATATATATATTCTAATGGATTGATTTTATTTTATTTTAGCCTAGATAATCTATTGTTAACTAAGATTTTATTTCTTTTAGTTAGTTAAAGCAATTGGTTTGAAAATAAAATAAAAATATTACATTTTTTAAAATTTTAAGAAGTAAAAAAATATAGAATTCTATTCTAAGAATAATCTTTCAAAATTTAAAAATAATAGTTAAAACAAATCTAACAAAATCCTAAAAATTAATTAAATAAACTTTCTTTTAAATTTTAATGAAAATCTACGTTTGACATAAAAGATCCTTCATTTTTATATATTTTTATTTTAAATTAAAAATGTAACATAAAAAATGTGTGTGTGTGTGTGTGTTTTTTTTTTTAAAAAGGTTATTAAAAAAAAGAAAGTACCGAAAGGTTTAGAGTGTGTGTATCTCTTTAAAAAAAAAAGCAAAAAGGTTTAAAAAAAAAAGAAAGCACTGAATGTTTAATGTATATATATTCGGTTGTAACAAATATATATGTATATATATATTTATCTTTTTTTAAAAAAGGAAAAGGTTATAATTTCTCCAAAATAAAAATAAAAATAAGACTGAAGTGAAAGGTTAACCCATCAGTTTATTCAATCAAGTATAAAGGCGCTGAGAGAGCAAAAGAAGAGAAGCATGCACGCTAAGGCAAAGAAGAGAGGCGTAACGGCAGCCCAAGACACCAAAGCCACCATCACAGAACACAGCAAAGCAGAGGAGAAGAAGACGTTTCTGATCTCCCATACAAGCCTTTGAAGGCAACTCTGTATGCTTATTTTTGGGACTAGACAGGGTAGTTTGGCAAGAAGAAATGATCAGAGATAAGTCAACGCCGTGCGATGGAGCAAACACGCAATAAAGCCTGTAACTAGCCTGAAGGAGACGCAGTTTCGACTATGATTTGAGGTAAGGTTCAGATCCTTCTTTTATAAATAAGAAGATAAGAGTAAGAAGGATGAGGTCAAAAAAATAAGGGAGAGTAAGTTGAGAGAGAAAGTAAAGATCAGTAGATTAGGAAGGAAGGAAGAGCATCAAAATGTTATCAAGCACGGTATGATTTTTTTTGCTGTACCTCTTCTGCTTCTCTATCTATTCAAATGACTCAAAGAACTTGGGTTTGGGTTTTTTGTTGGATTGAGGATAGGGAATATCATATCAGTTTTTTGTTTGTTTGGCAGTCTACCATTGTGTCCAGAAATTTCCCTTATAACTAATCATGTCTATAAATTTCATTTTTGTTTCTTGATATGGCTATGCTTCTCTACATATTTTAGTGTTACAAAAATTTTAAGGATGCTCTGAAATTATTTTTTGTGTAGCTCTGTGTCTGCTAAAATTTTGGTTACTTTATTGCAAGAGAAAGTGATGTTGCCAAACCCAAATCTTGATTTTATGAGCATAAAAGCCAATGAGTGCACACGTATATTTCAGCCTCACAGTGATATTACTATTGTTTTGCTGATGATTAGAAATTTTTTGTTTTTTTATGATGCCATGGAATTCTCTTTGTGATTATGTTTCAAAAAATTTTTAAATTTCTTTTACAATAAAAATATGACTAAATGGGAAGATTCAAATTGTGGCATTTTTTTTTAGCTTTCATGGCTGAGTTCCTCTTAAATTATTGTCATAACTCTCCTGTAGCTATGTCTAACATGAAAACTAAGATCATATGAAATAGTAGACAAGTTAACAAAGGGGGGTGAAGGAAATAATTTGGCTATTTCATTGATGTCATGATTTTCTCCTTTTCTTGAACATTATATGCGCAAATCATATTTGATGATGAATTACTTTGGTCCAGACTAATTATTACTTTTTTATTCTTATAAAAAAATTATATCTTAATGGTCATTTACTTATTTATTTTAGATTTTTGTCATGAGGAATATTCAGTCCCCATGAGCACTTAGGTTTATACTTAATGGGCTGTGAAGTATATTAAATCTTTGTATGTACCAATATTGATTATATCTTCCATTTGTATATCAAGAATATTTTTGGTTCTTTATTTATCATAATTTAAAGACAACAAACATCAAAATTTTTTTGAAAAGTGGGAAGGCAAGTTATTCATTTTTTCTTTCTACAAAGGTACCAAGTCACCATAAATACTTAGATATTAATCAATAAATTGTGAGTAGTAATAAATTATCATAGGAGTTGGTTTAAAATCATCTTCAAGGACTTACTATCTAAAAAATGGTTTATTTCAAACTCATCTTAAAAAAAAACTAATAATGAATCAAATGGATTAAATAATAATTGAATAATAAGTATTTTTAAAATATAATAAAATATCTTTTTAAAATAATAATAATAATAATAATAATAATAATAAACAATCATTATTATTCATTTATATTTTTTCATCTTTTAACAATAACAGTAATCATACTCACAAGAAATAAACGTAATAACAAATAAATTAAATCATGATATGCAGTTAAATAATAAATAATTATTTTTTTTGCCTCACGTTTTTTGTCATAAGTAATGTTGACTCACCATAGGCATCAAATTCATTCTACTATCATGAGTGACAATAAGTCTCCATAGCTACATTGAATTTAATTGAATAAATTTTCAATATATAACATCAGAAAGATGTTAAAATAAAATACTTAGTAAATAATTTAAGATTTCATATTATAAGGGAAACATAGAACTTTAAAAGGCATTAAGGTCAATTGTACGTCCATGAGTGACAATAAGTTTTCTTAGGCACATTAAATAAAAAAAGGATTTTAAAATTACCTTTTTATATTGACAAAGTGAATTTCCAAAGTAAGAGAAAGTATAACAACAAAAATATTTTCAAAATATAAAATGAGAATAAAAAAAGTAAAGCTAAATTATTTTTGAAAATTAAAGCACACCAACCCACATTTTAAAAAATTGTTTTATTTGCAAATGATAAATTATTTTCATTTAATTTTCTCTTTTTATAAAAATCATAAATAAAGAAAACCATTGACACTAATCTCTATTTCGAACTACATGAACTTTGATCCCTATAAAAGGATACATAGGCCCCAAAAGTCAATTTTGAATCAAGTCCCCTTGTCGTTAAATAATTATTTTATTTGCACTTTATACACAATTGAATAGGCATTAAGATAAATGGTCATATAATTTTTGCACAATAAGTTTAAGGTATTCATTCTTACAAATAGATATTATGGAGTTCCTAATACTTTCCTCACACATAATTGACCCCCGAACCTATCTTGATTTTGCAAACTATCCTTTTCATTTTCTTTTAAAGGTTTTTCAAAAAATTTTCTTAAACTTTTAGTGGCGACTCCTTTAAATCGATCTTTTTTTCAAAGGTTGAATCCTTGCTTTCACACGCCGTCCACATCACATTTTCAGATGTGACATTTATCTCTTTAGGATTCCGCCAAGAAACTTAACCAACCATCTTTATCTTCAAGAAACTTAGGAAGAGAACCCCTTGGCTGAAATCCATGGAAGCTTGGATGAAGAAATTGAGTTTAGATCCTTGTGAGAATGAAAGGGATGGGATGAGCAAGATAAAATATGAAGAATTGTGTAGGTTTTGTGGAGGTTTGATGATTGAAAATAGAGGTTAGGGGGCTGAAAAATAAAAAACAATGAAAAGAAAATGAAGAAAAACATGAACTAAAGAGAAAATGAAAGAGATAATGAAACGTGGTGTGTAAATCTGAAAATGAGGTGAATAAAGCATGATTCCTTATTGCTTCAGCTGATCTCTCAATTAACATAAAAGAAAACAAAATTAAAAGGAAATTTGGAACTATGTCACACTTACTAAGTGACAGTCTTTTATTAGCTTGTAAATAATTTAAATATGTGTTAAATTAATCTCATACATCATTCACATTTTAAACTATCTATTCCACCCAATTAGTTCTTAAAACCCAGAGGCCTTGCTAGCGAAATGGCTCCACTGCCACTTGCCTGTGTTTCTAGAATAACCAACACCCCAATATTGTGGTTTTTTGGTCAGTTCACGTATAAGACCAGGAAAGGCTCTGGCCCCTGTTCCTCTGGAATTCTAGAAGAATGAATTCATTTGACAAACATGAGAATGAGGGAGGGCTTGAATACCCACGGGCCTGTCCATCTCAACACCAGATTCTATCCGTTGCAGCATGTGATTCACCACAGGTCCGTCATTCATAGCCAAGCCCAGCTCCATAGATTGTGGTTTAGAATTCTCCCCTGGACCCGAAATAACGAATTGGATGGGAGGTTAGCAATCCTTTGTTTTGGGCCCGTACTCAACACTTCTGGCCCAACTTTAATATGCTTGGATGAGCCCATCACCTCAGCGTCACTAATCAGCCCATTACTCAACACATCAAAAGTGTTTTTAATGCCTAAGAATTTAGGACTTCCAAAGTAAATTGTAAATAGATTTTCTTAGTAATTAATATCACAAAGGGGAATTTTCTCACGGCGTGAGATCTAACATGCCACATTTTAGATTTTATTTTTTATAAATCTTTATATATTATTTTGAAAATAGATTATTTTCATTTATTTTTACATTCTTGAAAGATGTAATATTTCTAAAAAAATTTAGAGAAAAAAAAGAGCTACTTATTAAGGGCTTAGCTCCTTTCAAGAAAGAGGGAGAAAACAAGGAAGCTACTAGAGTAGACTCTTGTTTTTTCAGCGCCCAGGCCCATGTTGCAATTAAACTTTTGATGTCAAATTTATTTCAATTAGACACCTTTTCTCATGCGTTACAAGTCATTTGAGATAAGTCATGCTACTCTCGGGTTATGAATGATACAGTTTGTTGTAGATTTTATATTGTCCATTGATATGGACGTTGAATACTTAATAATTTTATCAATTTAATAGTTCTTATATGTTTTCATATCCCTCGGTATAGCACAATCTCAATGACGATGTCCACTGGACATTCAAGGTTATTCACAAGTTTCGAGTCTTACACACATAATTTGCTATCTTTGTTTCATGCCTTGTTCTCGGGGGAGACTTTTCCCATGCTCAATCACATTGCCTCCTTCTCCACACAAAGAAAACCAACAAGGAGTTTGGATCTAAACGCGAGTGTATATAAGATGAGGTACGGAAGACACAGTATCGATTTCAGGCATTGATTGGTAGAAGTGATGATACAAGCCAAACCGTAACATATAACAATGGGGTGCAAGATCACATTTCTTTGCCTTATCGTCTTGTTCATCTTACCAAGTTTCAGTCTTGGTCGACCTATCATCAACCAAGGAACCCTAGAGTTGATCTCTGATGGAGTCCAAGTTCAAAAGGAATCACGTAACCTTGTACATCTAAACCAGAAGTTGATTTCAGCAGATACTTGCACAGAGGCATATGAGTCTCTTCCATGCACCACCGCAGTTCTAGGCAATGTGTTTCTTGTTCTTGTCTATGGCTACTTGATGCTTATGGCAGCCAAGTTTATGTCATGTGGCAGTGAGATTTTGCTTCAGATAGTTGGGCCTGGTCTTGTTGGTGGTCTCTTCCTTCCTGTCTTGAGCTCAATTCCTGATGCAGCTATCATTCTTGGTAAGCTTCTCTCTGCAGCAATCTCTATGTGTTACCTGTTCACCTTTCAGCCATCTAGGATCTGCATTATTTATGGATTCTTCCTTTTTCCTTGTTTTTCTACTGTAAAATATGGATTTCAACTTCAGGGCTCATTGTTGTTAAATGAAATCCGTGTAACAAGCAAAGAAATATCGATTCTAGCACTCAAGTTTGACATGAAAACTGGTAAGGAGACTGCAATTTAAAAAAAAAAAAAAAACCGTTTGGTGTCTATGTTAGACAAATACATGACTTATTTTTTGGAGTCAGAGCTTCAAATCATAAGAAGTCAAAGTTTCTTTTTCCTGCAGATATAACTTATCCATTTAACTTCTTTTGTTTAGCTTTCTGTGAATAATAATGAATTCTAGGGTGTGACAATTGGAGCTTGAAAGGTAATGTTGACACTTTTTTTTGTTTGTTTCATCAGCGTCTGGACTATCTGGAAGCAAAGAAACTGCTCAGACTCAAGTCTCTGTAGGGATAGGCTTATTAGCTGGATCAACTGTATTGCTTCTGACTTTACTGTGGGGCTCTTGTCTCATTGTTGGAAAGTGTGACCTTGAAAACTCAGTGGCAATAGATCAGAAAGACACAAAAGCCTCTAGCTTGACTGGTATATACCTATTATTATCTATTTGCTTTGAGATAGTTCAATGCTTATTATTACTTGAGCAAGTTTAGGCATGTTCAAGGTAATCCACTCGAAAAAATGTATCAACTGTGTTTAGGCATGTTCAAGTCGAACTGGAGTTCTACTATCATTCATTATCTGTGTTTCCTTGTTGATTGTTTATAGCCTTTATCAGGTAGTTGCCTTTCATAGTCACCTTTTCATGAAATATCTTCTGTAACCATTACAAAACCAGTTTTGTTGCTGGCAAAAAGGATTGAACATAGTACTGATGAGTTTTTCTTCAAACATTCAATAATGTAGGTTTTTCAGCGGTGGATTCAAAGGAGAAGGCTTGTCTATGTTAAACATAAGAACTTAATGTCAGGCCTTCTAGAACATCTAAAGTCACAAGTTGGAGGAGGATGGTTCCTTAAAGACAATGGGGAACCTAACACCAAGGTTATACAAAAGTGAGTCAACAAATTCAGTCTTCTATAGTCAGTGTTTGACAATATGAGCTAAACAAAGTGAGTAAGGTTGTCTACATCGATATGGTAAACTTACAGGGTATTTGAGACACTTGATAAGAATTCTGATGGATGCATAAGAGGAAAAGATTTAAGAGCTCTGATGTTAGGAATGCACCTTAAGGAAACAAAAATGGAGTTAGACGAAGCCGTGGAAGATATCATGTTGGATTTTGACAAGTCTCATGACTCAAGAATTGATCAGGAAGAGTTTATCAGAGGAATTACAAGATGGCTTCAAAAAGCTAAGCGCTCTGCAAGAAACAATGAGCAGAGTCCCTCAACACTTGAGCTCTTGAACAACTTTCATAAAGTATATTCATCAACCAAATTAAACCAAGCATATTCATCAACCTAGCTAACATATAAACACCTCATTGATAACATGTATATATCATTCATCTGCAGAAAACAGTTGAAGAACAAGATGTTTTGTTAGGTGATCATGGTGATGAGACCATGGGAAGTGTGGCGAAAAATCCAAGGTGGAACACTTTGAAAGCAGTTCTGATGCTGCTTCTGGGAACTGCAATTGCTGCCGTGTTTGCTGATCCTCTTGTAGATGCAGTGGACAACTTCTCAACAGCCACAAGCATCCCTTCCTTTTTTGTCTCATTTATCATCCTCCCTTTTGCTAGCTCAAGTGAAATTGACTCTGGGCTGATCTTTGCAAGCCGAAAAAAAATCAGAACAGCATCACTCACATACTGTGAGGTTTGCTTCCTCCTTTAATCTTGTCTGCATCAAACTAACCTGAAGCTTCTTCTTAGAATTAACCTATGAAACAATAACACTTATATAACATGACATTGATGCAGATATATGGGTCAGTGACAATGAGCAACATGCTTTCCCTATCAGTGTTCTTGGGTCTGGTTTACATTCGTGGCTTGACATGGAATTTCTCATCTGAGGTACTCATCATTCTAATTGTCTGCACTATAATGGGTCTCATTGCCTTCTTTCGCACCACCTTCCCTCTTTGGACGTGTTTTATAGCCTTTGCTCTTTATCCCCTGTCTCTGTTACTAATATATACTCTTGAAGATTGGCTTAAACGCTGTCATTTTATCCTGCATTTTGCTTCTTAGTGATATCCTCAAGCTGTAAATCATTCAGAAAGTTTTGTTTGATATTTTGTATGCCTTGACAGTTGACACCCGTCACTCCGCAGCTGAGCTCCATTGTAAAATAATGATGCAGTATAATAAATAATACGAGCAAACATTCCACAATATGGAAGGTGGCACAAACACAAACAAAATGAATATAATAATTGATAGAAGATCTGGCATCACACATGGGCCATAGCAGCATAATAATTGCAAATCACAGAAAAAGAAAAGCAGCTTCATCTTAACCAATCCATTGCCTATGTGAATGTTTGGATTAAAAAAATTCATAACTGAAGCTAGAATCAAATAAGATTAGAAAAAAAAGTTTACGACTTTAACATGATTTATATTTAAATATCTTTTATTTAAAAATTAATTGAACAAATTAAAATTTATTTAAATTATTTAATTTAAAGTTAGTTGAAATGTAATATGAAAAAAAATAGACATGAATTTTGTTATATATAAATATATTTTGCAACTCATTTGATATTTTTAAGAAAAATAATGGACTTTAAATTACAATTTTTTTAAGAAAGAGAGAATTTAAAAATCTAAAATAAATTTATAAATTTCAAATTAATTATTAATATTAATATTCATTTGATATAAAATATAAAATTAATAAAACGTTGAATATTATTATATAATACAATTTAATTTTTAGACTTTATACAACATTAGTAAACAATCTCCCATAATTTGTGTTATAAATACTTTTTTAAAAAAATTACAGTTGATTCCTCCTTTATTTTTTTTTTTGAAGAAAAAAATGAACAAAAATGAAAAATCTGACATAGGCTTCCCCCTTCTAAATCTACAAAAGATTTTATTCTCACAATTGGAAGAGAGGCGGAAAGAAAAGACCGAAAATTCTGATATTCATTTGCCTTGTATAATGTGCAATGCATTTTACCTTCTCATCATGAGCCAGAATTTTAATTTTGAGCTTCCATATGAATTACCCAATGACCTTTTGCCCCTTCAAACTAAAGTTAGGGGCAATCTAATGTAGCCTCTATCAAAACAAATGACTTTTCATACAGCATGTAGTGCGTCCAGTTCTATGGGTGGGGTTGGGACAACAGATTTTTTTCCCTATTTATGAATTTTATTATTAAATTTTTATCACAATTTTTTATTTTCATTAAATATTAGTAAAAAAAATATTATTTAAGTATGTATATTTAATAAAAATAAAGTTAAGAACTTATTAACTTTTTAAGTGGGGTTAATAAATTTAAAAAAAAAATTAGTTAAAAAATATATATTAAAAAATAATTTATAAATAAATTTAGGAGTACGTTCATTTTCTTGCAAATAAGAAATGAACATTGATGGCTATATAAAGCACCCAGCTTTTCTCAAGTATCTGTGCACTGCATTTCCAAGCATAACTTTTGAAAATTGCATCGTGAACTGCCCAAATTAAATGGAGTAACTTATCATTGAATAAAAATTAATTGCAGAAGTGGATTAATAAGATCAAAGAAACAGTTAGCTTCTGGAAAGAAACGCTTCGGCAAAAAGACAAAAAGTCCATATTGTTGAATTTCATTTTTATGACGGTAATGATAGCAAGATTTAGGATTATCCAAAATTAATTTTAAAAATTTAAATTTAAATTTCTTTGCCTATAATTTTAATATAAAAATATTTTTATAAAATAATAATTATAAAATTGTCTTAATTTTAAAATTTGAATCTATTAAAATAATAAAAAAATATCAATTAAAGAGTATTAAAAAAATTTATATCAGTTAAGAATTATTTATTGTTAAATATAAATAAATACTTATAAATTTAAGTTAGATTTTTATTAATAATTTCATTCAAATTTTAATAATTTATTTTATATTAAAAATAATTCATTTAAATTTTTTATTTAAATTTTAATAATAATTAATTTTTCATTGATATAATTTTTTTAAATATTTTATTATTATTTTTTTAAATAATAACATATTAAAAATATAAAAATAATCAAATTGGGACGGTACTCATCACTTTACTGCTCCTCCGGGTCTACCCGTTACTATCCGTAACACTTGAGTTGCAGTGTGCAGGCAAGATCAGCATTCAAGGCGCACATCCCCCCCCCCCCCCCCCGGGGGATTTCTCTTACAGGGAAGAATGTAACGGTCTCATTTTCTGCCATCTCAAAAGGCATCTTTTTTCACGTTAAACTTCACTCAAAACCATCACATTTTCACTAAGTTTCTGAAAAATGCCCCAAATCTTAGCTTTTTCGCTACATTTTTCTCTTTTTCTTGTTATTGTCCTGGCCTTTGCTCCTCTATTTTCCGATGCCGATGTTAGCCCGTCGTTGAAAGCGCAAGGAGACGGCGTTCAGCCGCAGGAGCTGTGGTGCGTAGCGAAGAACAACGCTGAGGACGCGGCGCTGCAGGCGGCGCTGGACTGGGCCTGCGGAGCAGGGGGAGCTGATTGCGGCCTAATCCAGCAAGGAGGGCCCTGCTACGATCCTTCCAGTGTACAGAACACGGCGTCATATGCTTTCAACGACTACTTCCTCAAGCACGGCTTGTCCGATGACAGTTGCAACTTCAATAACAACGCAGCCCTTACTTCCTTGAACCCTAGTCAGTGAAGCTCTCCCTAACTCTCTTTCCCTTTTTAAAATCGAAATCACATCGACAGATCTTTCAGTCGTCGTTTAATTTTTTTTTTGGGGGTTAATTTACCGAATTCTCTTTCTTGTCATGCACTTTCAGGTCATGACAGATGCAAATTCCCATCCAGGTAATTAAGCTAAAATTGGATTAGGTCATATTTTCAGAGACTATATACACAAACATTGTTGTGTCAAGAGTAGGCTGTATCAATGCTTCTTAGCTTTGAGTTTGATGCCCACTGAAAGTTATGGTTCATGCTTGCGGTGCAGTTTGACAGTGAGCAATGGGAGCTTTACGGGAACAGCTTCAACTTCAACTGTGGGATTGGGACCAAGTGAAGATATAAGTAGCTGCAGTGAAGTTGCCTGGGGTTGGAAGTGGTTTTGGCCTTTGATTATTACACATTTGCTGATTATTGTTTCAAGATAGTAAGGAGTGAATGGACCTTTTTTTTTTTTTTTTGAAATGAAGGAACTAAAAAGGTTTTTCCTTCTTCATATCATACCAGCTAGACATTTAGGATCACAATGTGTGTTTGCCAGAGCATTATTAAGGATTTTGTATGTTGTTGTCGTATGTTTTAAACTTGAGCTAGCTCTATTTAGTGACTAGTTACAACGTCTCAGCTCTTGAAGACCCTGAATGGCCTCAGTACAACGTATTTGGAAGAAGGTAAATTTATAATAACTAAAAAAAATTATTAACATCATAAAAAGTGTTACTTTTGCAAGTGCTCTTGATCACTGCACAATCTAAAGCACTGGAGGGGATTCATATCCTACCTTCTGTGTATTCTACACTGAGTTTCTTCACCCTAGGATATCTTGTTACATCTTGGGGACCATATTTCCCAACGGACATAGTCAAACAGTTCGTTCCATGGTAATCTGTCTAGTGAACACTAAGTATCGAATGCAAGGAAAACCTAGTATCCTTAATGATCCGCAATTTCCTTTTGTGTGTTATGCTTCAGAAATTGCCACATCACGAGCAACGGTGCGCCTAAATTCAGGAAACAACCGAAATGCCAGGGAAAAATGCTCTGTATCTGATCTCTCAAATCTTAGTGAATAGAGATATGGAGACCTGACCACGTATAGTCCTGAAAATTGATTCTTCGTGTTGGCTAGGGATCTCACGAAGTTATCTAGTTGGTGTTAACTAACCAACCGCGCTAGGCACACAGTAAAATAAGGTATGGTCTTGAACTTGCTCAGCAAATCTGGTCTGTCATCCGGTTTAGTGGTTACTTGATCTCCCTTTCATGAGTGATTTCCTTCAAGACTTTGTATGTGAGACGCAAAGCCAATCACTTGTTGTAATCAAGAGGCCTGAAGATATTTGTTACTTGAGCAATTGTGAATGTTAATTGTTAAGAATCTTTATGGCCCTCAATTCATCACTGAGATTCTTTTTCACTATCCTGCCTCCAGTGTTGTCTTATTTCTGAGAAAATGAGATTTGCGTCAGCCATTGATGAGACTGTGAGAGCTGTCTTCTCTGGTAGAATGAAAACGTCGATGACTTTGTGAAGCTCTCTTTCTTGCCTTGTTTCTTAGGCTTATCTTTCTGTTATTGAGCAATGGAAAGGAGGAAAAGTAAAGGATCACTACACTCACAGATTATTAGTCGCTGTCCTCTCCCTTTCAAAGAACAGTAAGAAAAACTTCACTTTCATGCTTTTCTAGCATTTGTGACAGTGAAATCTTTGCACATAGTTAGGTGTTAGTTTCACACTTAGACTTCAAGAAAAAGTCCACTTCTTCGGGTTTGGTTATTTAATATAGAGTAATAGAGATCGAAAATAAATTCTACACGTACGGTTTATTTTATCTCTTTATTTGTATTTGAAAGACATTGTATTATATATTCCATTTCCATTATACAGCCAAGAGTTCGACCAAATCTCGACACTCGAAGTGATCGTTTTTATTCTTTGGCCATGTCAGAAATATTATGATGTCTTAAGCTGGTCGAAATCTTCAATCATCAAACAAGACCTTAACAAAATCCTATGTGTCTTGGAGTTGAAGATAACGTTTGCACTTGCAGTCTTGTAGCACTAATTCCCGGGCACCATTAAGCCCTTCATTATTTTACATAATAATTCTGTTTTTTATAATAATTCTGTTTTTCAATGAAGTAACTAACCATGCAATGTGTGCACAAATCTAACCCATGCATTGGCTATGTATAGTTTCACCCAAGCCTATCCAAATTAGTAAAGCTTAATATCTGATTTAAAAAGTGACCGATATTAAAAGGAAAAGTAAAAGCAATCTTCGTGGACAAACTCTACGGAACTAATTAATCATCGAGCATTCATTTCAACAGCAAAATCATATCAAGATCGAATAGCATGCCCTGTCCTCTTAAGAACTCAATATTAGAAGCTTAGAGTTTTACAATATGAAAGTTAAAGCTAATAATAGGGGTTAACACACAACCTACAGTAGATTGCAAGCTTAGTGAGGGAGGTTAACATAACATGCATCTTATGCAGGTTTTATTTCTAACAGCTCGCAACAGGATGCTAACCCACCACTAAAAAATATTTTTTATATTTTTTTAATTTTAAAAATTACAAATTCATCATAATATTAGAAACTTTATCTATCATTAATTATTAGCATCAAACAATTAAGTATGAAAATATAATTAACATATAAAAGTTTAAAAAATAAAATTAAATTTGATATTAATTTGAGTAAAGGTTAGCGGGCTAACCTTTTCCCCCCCTTTTCTAGCTGAGAAATTCTGAATTTATTGAAGTAAAACGTAATAACAAAGACAATATAGGAAAAAATAAAGTTAGGATTTATCTACAATTTGCCAATCTAATAACTCATAATTCAAAAAATGTTGAAAAGAATTTGAAGGTTGATATATAGATTATTTTAAATGACTCAAAATGATTCACATATCACTTTGGATGGCACTACTTCAAATGACAGCACAACAATTAAGAGTTTGAAACCCACGTAACCTTAAAAAAAAAAATCGATGGCTATATTGCTTATGCCTACCTAAAAATATTTTACTCAAATTAAATTGTAAAAAAATCTTTAGTTGAATGCATGCTACACTAATACACTTAACTAGTCATGAATTTATAGCTATCTCATCTAATTAAATGTGACAAGTAATAACAACAGCAGGTAATAAGCATGTAATTTGAATTATTTTAATAATTTTAATAATGATAAGGGTTTGGAAATTGAGAGAATGATCATGTGATTTCTGTCTTTTTTAAAAAAAAATTATGGACCAATCTACAGGTTAGCCTGTTGTGAATTTAAGCTATAAGAATTGGATCAAAATCGTCCCGCACATAAATGAACCCATTTTTAAAATCCAACCCACAGTTTTGTTTTTGGCGTATCGGCGGGTTGAGCTGGCCATATTACCAGCCCTAATGGTAGCTAGTCCTCACATAGTCTGCCACCTAATCTCCATATTTATTTGATCTCACAAGCGGTAACAATTGTTTGAATTTTAGTTAACGAACACACAGCGAATCACAACGATATCTTCATTCATCAGGGTAAGTAATTTCAATACTCCTTAACTTACATCATCCGCTTTACTTCAATCCCAAAATCATGGCATCATCCCTCGTCCCTTTTTCTTCTCAGGGAAAACTGCACTTGCAGACTTAAATATCAACTTTTCTCGTAGAATTTTAAAAATTCAAAATTAAATTCAACTAAAATTTCATCAAACTTATTTAAGGTTATATTACTTTTGGCGAATTTGAAGTCATATTTAAAAAAAACGTAATATTTATTTTTAAAATAATGATGTTGTTGTTGTAAATCCTTAAAATTTTGCAATGATTTTATTTGTATTATAAATTAAATTTTTTAAATTTTTTTATGATAAATTTTGCCTAATTTAAGTGGTTTCAAATGATTTTCCCCTTTCCTCTTCAGCAATAATGTTTATTGCAAGATTAATATCAGCCCGACAGTTGCGCTCTAAAAATGGAGGTATACATTGGAAGTCTAGGGATTTTCTAAATATCCCCTAAAATGGAGGAGGCTTGGAATTTAAGGACTTTATGGGCTTTAATGTGCTTTCACTGGCGAAAAGAGCTTGGATAATCCTTCAACAACCAGAGAGTTTATGGGTAAGAGTGCCGAAAAGTATCTATTTCCCACATTGTTCTTTTCTTAATGCTGTAAAAGGGCCCAAAGTATCGTGGATTTGGGGTAGTATTTTGGTTGGTAGGAAGATGTTGGAGAAAGATTTGGGTTGGCAAGTGGTTAATGGTAACTATATCGAGGTTTGGAAAGATCCTTGGATCGTCGGGGCCTCGAATTATAAGCTCTCTCGACAGGTAGATGTGGATATTGATGAAGAATTGGGAGTATCATCTCTTATCTCAGAAGGAAGATGAGATTTAAGGTTAATCCAGGGACAGATGGAGGCGATTATGCTTCAACTTATTGCAAATATGCCAATCTCAGCTTCTTTAAGACCTAACAAGCTGATATGGGCTGCTGCAAAATCTGGTACTTATGTGGTTAAGAATGGGTACCGTTTAGAATGGAAGAGAAAAACCCTGTCTTGTTCTGAGACTCAAGATATGAGGATCTGGAAAACTCTTTGGAAATTGGAGGTTTCTCCAAAAGTGAAACAATTCCTGTGGTGCTTGCTAAACTCTACCTTAGCTACTAATGAGACTTTGTTCAAACGGCATTGCAAAAAAGACCCTCTTTGTTCTATATGTGGTAAGGCTCCTGAGACAATTGAACACCTTTTTCTTTATGGTGATTGGGTCAAACATGCGTGGTTTGGATGCCTGCTTGGTTTAAATATTGATTCTTTACCTATTCATAGTATCAAAGAATGATTTTCTACTTTGTTATGTGGGGAGTCTCCATTTGATATTTATGGAAAGGCCAATATAGTTTGGTGCTGTTGGATTATTTTGAAATTAACCAAATCCAAGGTGAGTTACTATGATCTGAAACGTTAAGTTACAGAATTTCTAGACTGCTAAGGGACTATTACCACTCAGTTTTGCTTCTAGTGTGGATATTAAGACTGGTGATTCTCTTTGGTTAAAACCCCTTTTTGGAAATGTGAAAATTAATTTTGATGGGGCCCATCGGTCTTCGGATGATAGTGCAGCAATTGGTGTGGTGGTACGTACTGCTAATGGGTTTATGCTAGTTGGATGGACTACAACGATGGTGGTAGACTCAGGTTTTTTATCTGAACTATATGCTGCACGAAGGGCATTACAAATAGCTGAGTCTTGGGCCGGTACAGGGATTATTTTAGAAACGGATTGTAGTGTTCTGTTTGAATGCTGCTCTAACAGGTCGTTAATATTGTGTGATTGGCAATATCGAACTCTCTTAAGTGACATACTGGACATAACTGAATCCTTTGATAATCTTTCCTTTTATCTCATCTCTCATAGAGGGAATTGAGAGAGCTGCAGACTGGTTGGCAGGTTTTGCTTTAAAGGAGTTGGGACCTTCGAGTTGGGTGACTTTACCACCACCACCTCCTCTAGCTCTTCTTCTTCTCGAGGACTTGAGTGTGCAACAGAACTGTGATGGCTTGCCGATAGTGGATGCGGAGCGTCCAGGTGTTGGCCGATGGCTTATATTTGAACTTTTGTTTCATTTACTGCTTTTTGTTATTTGTTTGCCTTTATTTGTTTTGGTTTTGTGAACTCTCGGACGTTGGCCTCTTACAGTTATTTTCCTTTTCAAATGAATGAATCTCTTCAGGCCAAAAAAAAGAGACAGTTGCGCTCCAATCTACACTCAATATTAGGAACATTATGTTTTAACTATTTTTTGCCATTAAATTTAGCCACTTTAACCTGACAGAGAATTATGTTAAAAACTTTTTCTGAACTGTAATTACTCTAAAAATTAGAAATTTCTACGAGACTTTAGAATTTCGCTGCCAAAATTTCTTAAAGAAGCAAATATTATCGAAGTCACTTAAAAGTTAAAACTACAATTTAAAACCTAATTTTTTTTAAGGTTTAAATTTTTAAAAGTTTGGCTTCTTACTATTACCAAAAAAAAAAAAGAATTATTAACTTCTGCTTTTTTTATTTAAGATTTTCTAATTATAATTTTCATCAAACCAAAATAAAATGTAATAATGTAGCGAAATATGTCGGTTACATTGCATCAATTGTTGTGTAGTTAAGTGCCAAAACATAATTTCTCTTGTATTTTTGTACAATGAGATGTATTACAAAATTGAAAGTTGAAACACATTCTGCCTCTCACTTTTCTTCTTTTATACAATGCCCTCTTTACTGCTAAATTAATTAAATTTACGAAAGATTGGCCAGACGATACACCTCCCCAATATGTCCCAAATCCTTTTTTTTTTTTTGCCCCAAAAAAATGTATAACCACAAAATCAATTAAGAAAATGGCAAAAAAAAAAAAAATGAACTCAGGATGAATCACTGTCTCTCCAAATCACGATCAATATTATCATCGATGGTAGATGAAGAAGAAGAAGGTTGGATTCTTCTGGAAGATCTTTCTCTACTAAGTATTCTTCTGAAGGAGCTCAACCTTGAAATCGAACCGCTGTTTTTTAGCTCCACTGCCGTCTGACGTACCTTCTGCAGCAGGGTCCGCAGGCGGAGCCATCGGTAAGTCATTAGCAGCAGGCCCGGCCCGGCCGACTGGACCCTCACGTGGCCGGGGCTCAAGCACCGGCCGAGCCATCGTTCGACAAATCGGGCACGTCGAATGAGACGATAGCCACCTGTCAATACAGGCCACGTGGAACACGTCCCTGCAATTTGGAAGCAGCCTCGCCTCTTCTCCATCTCCAGATTGCTTAGACAAACAGAGCATTCCATCACAGAGGAATCTCCACGGCGGTCGCCGCCATCTTCGCTGTTTTCGTTCCGAGACTTGTCTTTTCTTCGTTTGAAGACGAAGGTGGGGAGAGAGGCAATGACGGTGGGGTCGAGCCCGGTGTTGTTTGGCGGATCGCCTGTGGAGTATCTGGCGACGGCGAGGCTGAGATGGTGTATGGCGGCTCGACGGCGGGCTTGGCGGTGGAGGACGTACCTGGCGTAGAGATGAAGGGCGAAAACGAGGGCTAAGACGAGTGACAAGAGATAATAGCTATGAGCAAGATTTGCTGTTCAACTTGGCGTCTTCGGAGTCGGGTCTTCTGGGAAATTTGCCACAGGAAAGTCGAAAGGAGTGGCGGCGTCCTGGGGACTACTCATGATGTTCTTCAGAACAGTGACACAGATGCACTCAGAGAGAGAGAGAGAGATGCAGGGACGTGAGAAGGGTGTATCGTGTTGGATATGTGCTCCTTCGCTATGTTTTTGTACGCTTAAAGAAGGAGACAAGTTCATTAGGGGTACAATTTACCTATGACGACACGTATACGTGTTTGAATCTTGACTTTGTTTTACTGGTGATTTGAATCGACCTGTTTTTGTTGTGAAGTTGATTTAAAAAAAAATGTTTGATTATTTTGTTCATAAAAATTTTTTGATTTAAGATAGATAACACAATTTAGTTGATTTATAGTCTCGTCTTATTTATAAGAGAGAATAACTATTCATAAATTATGTTATTAAATCTTTATTATAAATTTTTTGTATCCATATTAAATTCTCAAGGAACAAAATTATTAATTATTAAATTGTTACACAAAATTGATGAATTTGGAAACTTTTCTAAGCATCAATAAAACGTTAAAAATGAATAATAAAAAATCGAATTTAATATTATGATAGAATTGAAAGATAAGTTTTTGTGTTCAGACGAAATGCAAAGCAAAACAAGATTAAGGTGGTTTTTTATATTAAAAAGAATTAAAAAAAGCGTTGAATGTGGTGGTTCCTCGGAAGACGGGGGTGTGAATGACTTTTGTGATTTGTGAAACGCGTGGGTGTGAAGGGGTTGAAGGAAAAAGATGATGAAATTGCGAGAGTTGTTTTGTTTGTTGATGACCTTGAAAATGCAAAAGTCTAAGGGGTTTGCTAGTATAATTATAACTAAACAAGAAACTTAATTTATTAAATCCCAATTAAGACTCTGACCCTTGAAATAAGATGTATATATTGAAGTGTTCACGGGCTTTAATTTGTTCACCGCCTGGTTTTTGTACTAATTGCAAATATAGGCAACAGATATTTGATCAAGGAAGGCAACTTCTTCAGACTTGCATTGAATTCTGCAACAATGGTCTCCACATGTTTACCAAATAGACAACATCTTAGACTAATAGCTCTGGACTCTGGAAGTCGTTGCTACTTGCTCCAAAGTCTTATTGACTTTTCCCAATGTTTTAATACCTATAATTATTTTTTAAATATTTTTAATCTTTATATTTAAAAAAATCGAGTGAATATTTTATTTTTTATGTTTTTATAATTTTAATTTTTTTAATTTTTTTAATTTTATAAGAATTAAAAATATTAAAAATAATTAAAAATAAAAATAAAATTTAATAAAATTATAAGGATTAAAGACTATATTTTTTTTTAATATATGCATACACACACGCTAACTGTATATTGTTTCATAGGCAAAGGTTGGTAATCCAACATGTTAAAGGTATCAAAACAGATATAAACAAATTACATTGAACTAAGCTGACATGAGTTAATCAAAATTGAAAATATAAATAAAATTTGCTCTTATTTTTTCTAGGCAAAACCAATCAATTTGATTCGATTTAGATATTTTTATTAAAATTTAAATCAAAT